ACACCACAGAAAGCATTCTATACAGGATCTCAAGCAAACTGGCTTGCCGATCACACTTGAGAAATGAATAGGGTGACAGAAAATCGAATGCTGTGGCAAAATCTTGTATCAAGTGTCCTTTTCAGAAGGTAAATCGCCAGCCAGAATCTACCCAGGCAAGGGGAGTAGGCAATGAGAGGTCTGTGTACATGAGCACAGGCATGCCTCTTTGGGGCACGAGTCTTAAGCCAATTCTAGCGAGATTTTTGAGTATCTGCAATGTTATGATGACTCCTGGCAGAGGAATTCAATAAATATCTGTTGAATGCATATGTGAAGGTGAGAATCCTTGGGGAAAAATGCAGGAGAATTAAATTCTCCTTTATACTTTAAACACAACAACGAAAACTTTATGCTACAGTAATCTTTCATCATCATCATCACTATAACAGTTAGCATAACATCTACCCTCGTAGCAAATCTTAAAGTAAACAATATTGTTAACTATAAGCACCCTGCTGTGCAGTAGATGTCTAGGACATATTCATCCTGTATGACCAAAACTTTGTACCCTTTGACAAATACTACAGTAACCTGTCAAACCAGTAATTCCTTATTTATTACTGGTATAAGAGAAGAGGTAAGGGCTTCCCTGGTGGCGTAGTGGTTGAGAGTCCGCCTGCCGTTGCAGGGGACACGGGTTCGTGCCCTGGTCCGGGAAGATCACACATGCCGCGGAGCGGCTGGGCCCGTGAGCCATGGCCGCTGAGCCTGCGCATCCGGGGCCTGTACTCCACAACGGGAGAGGCCACAACAGGGAGAGGCCCGTGTACCGCAAGAAAAAAAAAAAAAAAAAAAAAAAAAAAAGGAAGAGGTAAGCATACATTTCTTGAGATCATCAATCAATACTCCTTTTGGAAATCAATTTGGTTACATGTATCAAATACATAGAACTGCTTTAAGACCTGGTAATTTCCTTTTCAGAAATATATCCCCAATAGCAGGTAATGTATCCTTAACAGCAACTCTTATGTAGTACTTATTATGTGTCAGAAATTATTCTAACCACCCAGTGTCACACTGCTACAAAGTAGAGGATCTAGAATTTGAACTTGGGCCTTGTAGTTCCAAAGCCTGTGTGTGCTCTGACAACTTTTGCTGTCTTAGCTACAAAGGTGTCCACTATGGCACTTTTTTTTTTTTAATAACAGGAAAATTTAGAAACAAACTAAATGTCAGTGGGGTGTAAGTTAAATAAATAGTATATCCATTGATAGGACAAAAAGCAGGCATTAAAACTCAGGTTTTAGAAATAACATGTTTGCAGGGGCAAGCAAGATATTTGGCTCAGTGGGAGGGGAGAAAGGCACAAAACAGGGCATACAGTCTTTCAGGTCTACTAAGTGTTTCCGTTGGACGGTGAGATTTTATTTTTCTCCTTGTATCTTCCCAGTTTTCTAAATGAACTTGAGTTCCTTTTGTACTCAGAAAAAGAAAATTGCTAATAACAAATTTCTGTCTAGATCAGCACAGCCCAATCAAAATACAATGCAAGTCATATATGTAATTTAAAATGTTTTAGAAACCACAACCATATTAACAAAAGTAAAAAGAAACAGGTGAAGTTTTTTTTAAATGTTTCTTATTTAGCCTTTATATCTAAAATATTACCACTTCAACATGGAATCAATATAAAAATATTAATGGACTATTTTACTTTTTTGTATGAAATCTTCAAAGTCACTTTTAGCACACCTTAATTTGGTCTAGTCACATTTCAGCTGCTCAGTAAACAAGTGGCTACTGGCTACTGTGTTGGATCCTTGTAGAAGCTTTACTTTCAGATCCAGTGTGCCCAAAACATGACTCTGAAACCCTCCAGTAACTACCTCAGTCTTCATGTGACCAGCCACAGCTGTGTCAAACCGCTTCCTTAATGAGAAAGAGATGTGCTTCAGAGAAGGTGGATCTGAGTTTGAAGCCTCCCTCTAACACTTATCAGCTGTGTGATCTTCAGCACGTTAATTAACTTCTCCGTGCCTCATTGGATCCTTTCTGTAAATGAGTATAAGGCCTATTTGAGTTGTTGAGATTGAAATAGTGTATTACAACACCAAATACATGGAAAGCACTTTAGAACAGATTTTATTATCTAACCCTTGCTCTTTGCAACATTCCTTATTCAGATCAAGGTTAGACTTAGCAGGAGGAAAGACAAGATTCTTAGAAAAGAGATGTAGGAAATCTCATTTAAAGTGGTCCTAGAACTAATTTAGGGGGATGTGGAGAGAATAGCTGGGGAATCTATAATAAATACATTTGTATTTTAAAGGGGGCTACCTGATAGCAGGGCACAAATGGCACAACTTTTTGCTTGCTTCACATAGCTATCCCTCAGCAAATAGTCAAGCCACTAAACAGATAAAAATCACTGAATACGTGCCAGGAACATGCTAGACAAAGGGGCTTAGGAGTAATTAAAAAAAAAAAAAGGATAGGAGAGGTGTTCCCTTAACTGAATGAAGGAATGAATCAATGAACATTGTACATTTTCTGATTTTTCTCAACTCAGCTGTCTGTTCTTTTTGTTTTATAGTTGCCTCTGTTGTTTTACCTAAGATTTTCTTTACTCTGATATTAGGTAGTGGGATTTCCTCTAGAAGGCTCAACTGAAATATGGTCTGTCTACTATGGCTGAATCTAGGTGAAGTGTATATATGTACTCAGCTTTTGGGTAGGTTTCAAACATTTCAAAATTAAAAACTGGAAAAAAAACAATTATAATAGAAGGCCATTAATCATGACATGTATCAATGTTTTCTTTAGCATCACTGTTTATAACAGAGGCCACCAGAAGCTATATAGATGCAGCAAAGAGGTGAATGACTAAGAAATTCACATAATCGAGGATAAAAGACTATATAGCAATAAACTCACACCTGCAGACCTTTCAATTCATGGAAATACGTAATGAAATAATGTGAACTGGGGGGAAAAAAGCAGAAGAGAATCCATGATTACAGTAATGAAAATACACGTGATATGCATCTACAAAAACTAAAAATGTATTTGGCGAGGTAGGAAGATTACTTTCCCTTCTAGGTACGTTGCCCACATTCACAATAACAAAGAAAAATAAATAACACATATGGTAAATCTTGTTTGCTAAGCAAGCTTATCTTACATCAGAGGGCAGGATGGCCAGGGGGAACTGCATCTAGTGAAAAGAGTACCAACAAATATGCTTGGCAACCGACTCCCAGTTACTAGCGTGCAGTTAACCTACTACTCAGAACCTAATAGCAGATTTGGGATTTTTCTTAACTGGAGTAATTATTCAGAACATACTCAATACAAATATTTGACCTAAACTAGCGTCAGATTTTATTTTTTACATGGTACTTCCTCAGTCCTTTAACCACAATAGTGCGCACAAGGTAAAAACAATTAAGCCTGCTGCCTTTCATTATTACCGTGGTCTGATAGCATGCAGGGTAGATCAAAATAGCTGGTTGACATTGAGAGTCCCATCACAAGCACTTTGTGCTTGAAAAAAATAAAAACCAAATCATTTAGTACTTAAAATTAACAACAATGGCATCACCTTGTGGGTTAAATGACTGAACAATAACTCAAGTTAGTTGTGTTCTGTATTTCCTTTATTAATATAATTAGTATTCTTAGATCTTTTAAAATTGCTCTTCTCTAGCCCTAGGGGAAAATGATTTCAAAAGGCTGAATACATGTGCTGATTCAAGATATGCTTTCTCATACATCCAACCTCTATAAGTTTGGATGATACAGCAAAATATAGAGTAATTCTGGCTCCAACTCCTTAGCAACATTGTTTAAAAACAAAAATTCCATTACACACATAAGCCAAGAATTTTTATGTTGCATTGCACATAAACAAATTTATGTAATACTTTAAAAATATAAAAACCATGGCCTTAATTGTTTGGAAAATGATAACTTAAGAATATGGTCATTAAGAGACTCACAAATTGGTTGAAAAACTCAGAGCTAAAATTCACACGGGGTTGAAATACACCTTATAAAGAGCTGACATCCAAATTACATACACTTGACAAAACTTATAATTTAAGCATTAAGTTATTTGCTAATCTCTTTGGGGAGGTACCAATATAATAAAAGATTGAGAAATAATAATATCTGGTAAAATTATTTGCCTTGTCCCAAAATGGCTAAGCCTTAAAGTAGAATGATCTGCATGCCAATCCTGGTTATAAAACTCACGCAAGATCTGAGTGTTCTAGGGCAAAATACTTAATTTCACTATGATTCAATTTTCCTAGCTACTAAAATTAGAATTACTTAATATATAGTTGTATATTTATACTTAATATATGGTTTCTAAATTAAAACAAAGTAATTAATAATGAACGCGAAAATACTAAGAGCAATACCAATCACTGCTATGGTACACTTATTATCCAGCAATTGTCTCATTCAAATGGATAACTTTTAAAATAGCCTTTTAATCAGTACCAAAGCCGCTTTTTTGCATAACTTTAAGCCATAGGGCTAATTATACGTGACATAGAAATCTCACCAACAGAACTGCCCTGTTTTAGTTTAAAAGAGACTTGAAGACACGATCCTAACAGTCCGAGTCATATTTAAAGAAGCCATCAAAAAGGGAAACAAACCTGAGATGGGTAAACAGACTTCCTTGGCAGAAGTTCATGTAGAAAACTAAAACCTAAAGTACTCATCCCAGGAAATCACTGTCTGCAAGATCCCAAAACAGAACGCCATTAACGCAAAGCACTCGACACCGAACGACAGCGGAGCCGTTTAGTAAAATTCAGGGCTTAACTACTCCCCTGACAAAAAGCAACACAACACACAAAAGCAGAAACAACCAACACGCAAGGCAGGGATGGAACCGCTCGAGACCCTCTGAGTCGCTTCATGGAGAGGGGACAGGAGGCTAAGGCATATTTAATGAATGAAACTGAGGACTAGGGGTTTGGGAAAGTACACGAAACGGACCCTACCTTCCACAGATTCCCCGATACTGTGTAAGTGAGTGATAGAACTGTAGTTTTGGGAAATACTCTTCAGGAACGCTTCCATCTCTGGCTGGTGGTGGTAGCTGAAGTCCAGCGCAGCTACCACAGGCAGCAACAGCCCTAGCCAGAGGCGGGCGCAGTCCATGTTCTAGAGATGAATAAAAACAATAATAAAGCTGAGCAGGTGAGGAAGGGGGTAGTGGGGAGTGTGCACGTTACTCGCTTCGGCTCCGCTGTCTAGTCTCAGATCTCCCGGCACTAACACTCCCAGCTTCCGAAGGAGGTAAAAGTTGGAAGCAACAGCTTCGGGAGTTAGCGCACCCGGAGCACGGGCAGCCCCTGGTGCCCTCCATCCCGTCTCCCACCCTCTCCTCCTCCCCACGTCTCGGCCGCTCTCCGCCGCCCGACAGCTGCAGCAGCTGCGCCCGACCCCCTGCGTCCCGCTCCTCACCCCGAGCCCAGGCGCGCACCGCCACCCGGCGGCTGCCACCAGGAGGGGCCTGGTATTAATAGCCCGGCCAGGGTCCCACCCACGACGCCTGACTGACGTCTCTCCAGCCCACTCAGGCGCCGCGAGGAGCACTCCGGGGCGGGGCCGAGCCGGGCGGTCCGGGCTCCTCTGCCTCCTTCGAGGTCCCTGGGCGCGGCGGCCTGTGCCGGGGCGCGGCTGAGAGCTTCCCGAAACCTAGTTGCCTCGCGCGGCCTCAGTTTTTGCCGGCGCCCCAGGTTGGCAGTGCGCTCACCCCGGCCACGGCTCCGTCCGCTGAAGGGGTCCGGGGCGCTCCACTAAAGGGGCACGAGGTGTCTCCAGCTGCAGCGAGCTTGGAGACGCTAAAGGCTTGGACGGCTTCTCGAGTTGGGCGGTGCGGGCCGGCGCGTCCCGGGCTCACCTGGAGCCCCACGAGGCGCCGCGAGTCCCGGGCGCCCGCAGCCCCGAGCGGGCTCCTTTGCTCTTCAGCGCCGACCCGAGTCGCCAGGGCCGCGCTCCCAGCTGCGCCAGGCGGCCCAACCCTGCTCTACAGTCGCGTGGCATTTGAGAACGGGCGTGTAAAAGTTTTAAATGCCGTCGTGTGGAGTCCAGGAAATTTTCCGACAAATATTTATAGTGTATGAGATTTGACTAAATTACATTGAAGACTGGCAATCTGGAAACCACATGGAAGAAGGCATCAGAGGCATCACTGTAAAGTCAACGCTGCCGCCACTAACACTGCTTAGGCCAGTTTCAGTTATCTGTACCTAAAATGCTTCTTTCTGGAAGGATGGGGTGATCTGTGTTTGCACTAGAGATAGCAAGGACTTCGCCGAAACCCAGAGGGTGTGTGGGACGGGCAAAGACTGCGCACACCTGTCACACATTACCTATCAGAGTGACTGGAGGCTTGTGCCACGGGTCCAGTGAACGTAAAACGTTTGAAAAGCACTGATTTGGCATAACATTCCCCTTTAACAGATTAAAAACAGTAGTGCCAGGGCCCCACCCCAGACAGGTTGAACAAAATTTCTGAGGCCCGGGAATGTGAATGGAACGTGCCCTCAAGAGCTGAGAACCGCTAGTGAATGCCTGTCTCTTTTTTTGTTGTTAAGTAAGTTACTGTTTTATTTTTTATACAATTTTTAAAGGTTACTTTTCATCCTGCCTCTTCTTTGTTTGTGATACAGATACTGCTGTAGAATTGAGCGGTTTGGAACCTGAGGCCCCCTGTGACTCCCACGTAGCAGAGTAAAGAAGTTTGAGCTATGATTATAGCATCACATGATATGGGTCCCTGTCCTTGCTCTGACACTCAATGGTTGTGTCAACTCTCTGTGCCTTAGTTTCCTAGTCGGTAAGATGGAAATGATAATTGTACTTACCTAAATAAGGTTGGCAGGCATATTGTGAGAACTCTGGGAGGTATCTATTAAGTAAATAACCAGTTTAATTCATAAATCTAAGCAGAATTTTCTAAGAGTTGGAAAATCTTAATACGATGGTTTTGGGTTTTTGAGTGGATTATAAAAGAAAAGGTATGCTGCAGTTGCTATGCTAACTGTGATTTTTACCAGACGGTTTGAAGAAATTCTTTCATTGTCGTTCATTGACTGGAGGCCTGAAAGGAGGTGGAATAGGGTCGAGGAGATTAAATTTAGGCAAAGTTACGCTAAAGAATGGGAAAGGGAACTGTCAAGGAACAAAGTGAAGGATTTCTGATCTGACTTTAGAAATCAAACAGTTTTTACAGAATTAAGTGGCAGTTTTGAGATTTCCTTTAGTGATGCTGTGGCTGGAGCCTGGAGAAGATGGTGGCTTGGTCAGTACTGGGATGGAGGTCGCCAGGGTTCTTATTCCAGATAAACAAAGGGTTGAGGTATAGTTGAAATTACTGCCCTTGGGGTTCACACTAGGTAAGGAATGGAAGCAAATTCAGGAGAGAGCCAATCTCCTGGGGTTTGAGGGCTGAAGGTCCAGAACCTAGCCACTCAAAGTGTGGTCCAGGACTAGCACTGACATCACCTGGGAGCTTGCTGGAAATGCAGAGTCCCTTGTCTCACACCAAACCTACTGAATCAGAGCATGCATTTTAATAAGATTTCCAGTCCTATGTACGTTCAAATTTTACTTGCAATGGTCTAGAGGTCAAAGAAGTTTAGTGTTAGAGTGTGAAAGACATGGAGGAATAAAACGTTGGCCTAATAGACTAAAACACTAAAGTTTAAGACTTCAGAGGTGATCTTTCTAAGCACGACACCACTAAAGATAAAAACATAATAAAAAGGCAGATAATTTAACATCATAAAAATGTATACCTTCTATAAGGAAAACTCAGCATAAAGGTTACCCAAAAAATTGCAAACTGGAAGAATTAATAGCTCTTACAAAATCAAGAATGGGCAAGGCCATTAATAGGTGGTTCATAAAAGCAGTAATACAAATGGTCAATAAACATAGTAAAAGTTACTGACCTGGTTAGCAATCAAAGAATTACTCATTAAAAGGGGAAAGTAATATTTTGTTTTGCTTACCACCAAGAAAGATTAAAAAGATTGATAATACCTAGAAATGAACAAGATCTGGGGAAATCACATTTCTGCTATTTTAATGGTATTATAAATTGATACACCTTTCTGGAGGAAATCTGGGGAATAGACAT